TCCTGGATCTCGCTCTGTAGACCAGGCAGGCTGGCCTTGAACTCACAAAGATCCGCCTGCCTCTGCCTCCTGAGTGCTGGGATTAAAGGCATGCGCCACCACCGCCCTCTTACTATACTTTTTAAAGGTGTGAAGTCCTAGATTATATGAACATAAATTTAGGAACTGTGAATGGAGGTAACTCTGGACACCATCTTAGGAAGATGTTATCCTTGGACAACTAGAGATCAGAGGGTCGCCATGCCTACCAATCCTCATTAGTTGAACTTCTAGACATTGCCTGAATAAAAAATTAAATCTTTCTGGATAAATCCACTGAAATGTCAAGATTTATGTTACAGTAGCTATCATGATATGTTTATAGAAACTGATACATTGAGATTAAGTTAGATCTGTAACAAAAATTCAAAACCCATAGTTTGCTGTAGTGAGTAGCAAAGAAACAAAATTCAAGGCTACACAATAGACTCCCAGATAATTCCACACAAATATGCAGTAAAAATATTACTTGTGATGATTTATATATTAGTTATATATTACTGTGTAATAATCATTCCAAAACATAGTGGATTCAAAGAAGAACACATCATCTCTCAGCCTTTCTGTGGATCAAGTCTGGAGCAGCCTGGAGATGTCTTGTGAGGCTACCTAATTTGATTCCTTAGTTTTTTCAGCATAAATGTATTGGTGGGGCGTGCTGTTCTCAAAGACTTGACTGCTATGGTAGGATCCATTCACTCAAGTGGTCACCTAAGAAGCAAGTTGATGCTACCAAATTGGTCCCCTCCACTCAGGCCTCTCCAGGAAGCTGCTTAAGTGTCCTAATGACCTGGTGACTGATTACCCTGGAACAAGTGACCCAAAAGATCATCTTTGGTGACCTAACCTTGAAAGTCATACACCATCTCCTCCACCGTATTCTATTGGTCATTCCCCTCAGACTGCTCCAAATACCAGGGGGAGAATAAACTAGAAATAACAAGATTAAGTTACCAGGAAAGGAGGAAATATCTGCTGACATCATCCTTCTTCATGGTCATATTAAATTTCAAGAAATAACCGGATGTCTATAGGACACTTGAGAATGAAAATAGAACCCAGGAACTCCAGATAGATAAAATTTCACTCAGGAGTCAGTGCAACTAAAAGGTACTCTCTGGCCAGCGAGATGGCTCAGTGGGTAAAGGCATTTGCCACCAAGTTTGATGACCTAAGTTCGATCCCCAGATCCACAGGGTGGAAGGAGACAGCTGACTCCTACAGGATGTCCTCTGACCTCCACAGGCACACTGTGACACTAGCACACACATGTGCACATACAAAATGAATGAACAAAGGAATTTTAAAATAAACAAGGAAACAAGAGACTCTAAACTGTACAAAAACATAAAATAACCACAAAACATCTTCAAAGAAAAAATTATCTCATTATTCACTCAGGTCAAAGATAAGTGTTAAAACAGGCAAAGTATACAGGAAGCAAATGATAATTACTAAATGCATTTAAGTGTATGGTGAATTAAATGTAATTTTTTTGTGAGTATAGCTATAAGCTACAACTTATATGTTAATAATTCTTAATATGCTTTTTTAAAGGTGTGAAGTCCTAGACTGAGGAACTGTGAATGGAGGGGTTAAGAGAGAAGGAGGAACATGAGAACGCAGAAGCACCTGATTCCCTTAACTCACAACAGCTTTGCTTCTGTTAGCAGATGGGAAACACAGGGTTATACGTGTTACTTTAAAGCAATCTCTTTGCCTTCTAAAGTTCTAAAATCAAGAAACACAGTGTCTGCACAACAAATAAACAAAAGACACAAAATAAGGAGACCAGACTCATCAAAACAAAAACAAATGTTAATTCTCATTGATGTAAAATATAATAGCCACAACGACATAGTGTGAATCATTTACGCTGAAAAAACTAAGGCATCGCGTTAGGAAGCCATCAGAAGTACGAACAGAAAGACAGTAGCTCTGAGACTTGACCACGCCCCTCGGTCTTGGGCAGTGTATAGAAGACAAAACTTCAGAAGCAATTGCTGGGGTGGACAGCAGGCTTCTCACCCACAGCTCATCAGCCACCCACTGCTCTGCTGTGGACGTCCACAGCCTCAACACCGCAGCCATAGGAACTAGCTGAAGGAGCTCAGTGTGTGCTCAGGGATTTGGGGACACACATACTTAAAGGTCCCTTGCCTAGAGAAAGTTGAAAGTTTAGATGTTCATGATATGTTTCTAGTTGAAAACTACATGACAAACTATTTAATTGCCTTATTTCAAGCTAATGTGACAAAATACCATAGATTGGGTGGCTTAAACAGCACACACTTATTGGCCACAGTTCTGGGAGGCTGCAAGTCCAGAATCAAGGTCCTAACATTGTCACTTCCTGGTGACAGTCCTCCTGCCTTTCAGTCAGCTGCCTTCTGGCTGTATCTTCACTTGACAGGATGGAAGGGGAGAGGGGTAAGGAAGGGAGAGGAGAGAGGGGAGGGAGAACATACATGTTCCAGTTTGCATACCTCCTAGTGGTGGCATTAATCATGAGAGTGTCATACCTGTGACTTAACCAAATTTAATTACCCCACAAAGGTCTGCTTCCAGATACCATCACATTAGGGCTTCAGCTTGAGAATTGAAGGGAGGCAAACATTCAGTCCACTGCACTCACTGGGGTCCATTTTGTGGGAAATGAAAAGGTGTATGGAATGGTTCTACATCAGGATAACAAATCACCGCTCTCTCAGACTTTGAGACAACACCAGCATTGCACCTCTTTCTGATTGTCTTGCCAAAGTCATGGCGCTAAATCACAAGCCATGATAAAGGTAGGTGCTTATCTAAAATGAGTGAATGCCTGCCGACATCAGGAACAGGAAGTACTAGCAGTAGGGAGAACATTCTGTCCCACCCAGGCACAGAGGACAGGTGACCAAATGTTCAGAACAGTCCCTTATTGTTTCTCTTACTTATCAATTTCAACTTACATACTCAATTTTAAATTTCATCTATGTGTGCTTCTTTTTGTTCACAAATTATATAGATCAAATTAATTAGGCATGATAGTTATAGAAGTAAGTTTTCCCAGTATTCTGCACTAGCCCACAGCTTTGAATGACAATTAAGTGCCATATTGTAGGTAGCTACCCTCTTCCCTGATAGATGGGGCCAGGAACACAAAGTTCTTTGTTTTAAGACACTCTTATGGTAAGGCAGTCTCCACAGTTCCCTGGCACTCTGGAACAGGGATTGGACTGTGTGCTGCTTAGTTTTATGTCAACTTGACACAAGCTAAAGTCATCTGAGAGGAGGGAGCCTCAACTGAGAAAATGCCTCCGTAAGACTGTGCTGTAAGCAAGCCTGTAGAGCATTTTCTTAATTAGTGATTGATAATAGAGGACCCAGCCCATGGTGGGTGGTGCCACCCCTGGGCTGGTAGTCTTGCCCCACCACACACACGGTTTCTTTGTGTAGCCTTGGCTATCCTAGAACTCGCTCTGTAGTCCAGGCTGGCCTCAAACTCACAGAGATCTTCCTGCCTCTGCCTCCCAGTGCTGAGATCAAAGGTTTGTGCCACCACAGCCAGCTGGACTGGTAGGCTTGGGCTATACGAAAGCAGATTGAGGAAGCCAGTAAGCTGTACCACGTGACAGCCTCTGCATTAGCTCTCATCATTGTTTTGGGGGTCATGGTGTTTCATCACAGCAATTGTAACCCTAACTAGAACAGACCGCTTGGTAGAACAGACTGCAGATCAGAGAAAGGTAGATCTCTTTACATGCAGCAACCTGAGGGAGTGCTCTCATTTTTTCATATTGTAGTAATCTGGGCAGGCAGAGTCTAGATACTAGCGTTCCCCACAACACACACACACACACACACACACCCCTGCCAGGTCTTGACTGCAGCCTTGACTACAGCCACTCCTCCCCAGGGTTGTTTGGAGCTGGAGCCAGTTTCCTGGACTAGGAGGCCACAGTGGTTATAAAAACTACCTCGTGTTCTGGTGGGAAAAGAATAAGCCCGATGGCGGAACATGAAACAAGGATCCTTCCTGAAATGAGGATCCAGTGTGTGTGTGTGTGTGTGTGTGTGTGTGTGTGTGTGTGTGTGTGTGTAGGAGGGGGGGGGATGTGAGTCACTTTGTATTTAAGCCACAGCCACACAGTCTGTTGTGAAGGAGGAAACTACTTTCTAACAATAACCCACCTTCAGACTCCTAAATAATTATTCTTTATTTTGAATTAAAATCTGCCTTCATGTAGCTTCCAGTCCTTTGCCCTACACACACCCCTTGGGGCTGTATCAGTGTTGCCCATTCTTTCTCTTATTCCCGAGCCTTCAATTCCCTCTTCCTGTCCTTTCAAGGCATCGCCTTTGATCATGTTCCAATACTTTGCGCACCCCGCTCCGCGCCCTAGTTGTGGGTCTCACTCACGCCTAGTACTTCACAACCCAAAGCGCTGAACTATTACCGGAGGTCTGGTTAGAGTCCAGTGAGCGCACACTCACTAGGGCGGTGTACTTTTGTGGTCATCATATCAGACATTTACACGGTTAACTATGTCTGATTAAAACCTTACCTGCCTGTCCACCGTCCCTTCACCTGTAGATGTGACACTGTTTTTAAACCAAGTAAAAGCGGCCACATTTACAACACATGGGTTGATTTAAAGCCTAACTCATTACATTAACTTATTTTTATTATTTGCAGTGCTGGGGGATGTAACTCAGTGGCTCGCACAGCTCCCAGCCCAGGAATTGCTAACTCCGTGCTTTTAGCCATGAGCAGCATATCGGATGGCAGTACTACTTAAAACAAGAAGTTACCTAGGCGCCTTCCGCCTACTAAAGAGACCGGCACTTGCTCCCGGCTTTACAGCCTGCGCAGCCGCTGTCAGCGGGCGGGACCGAGCGCCGCCTCAGCCCCGCCCACCCTCACCTGCTGTGCAAACAGGGGAGGCGGCCGCCGATTGGCTGGCTGGGGCGCAGCTTGATGGCGTCAGCACGCGCCCGGCCAGCCCGGATGGCTCGGGGTGCAGGCCGCCTACTGCAGCAGGTGGACTGTCTTCCCTTGCGGCTTCCCTGAGGTGTAGACAGCTGGGCATGGGCCTCCCGAGGCTTCGCCATGAGCTTCCTGATCGACTCCAGCATCATGATCACCTCCCAGGTGAGTCGCCGCCCGCCCGATGGCGCCCGGGAGAACCCGGATTTGCTCAGCCGGGTGCCTAGTCCGGGTGGTTAGGGCTGCCTTGTGGCCCTGTCACTCACCTAGCGGGCATCCTCCCTCCCCCGCCAGACGCTGTGGGTCCGCTCTGGGGAGGGAGCAGCTCGGGGGCCCGTGCCACGGGGTGAGGCGTGGGGGGCAGTGCCCATGGCGCCTCCAGGCTTCCGGGCTGCGCCGCGGAGCGCGGGAGTCCGGAGAAGTGTGGCAAGTGTGGCTCCCGGCGGGCCGCGTGCCCCCTGGAGCTGAGTGCTGGGACCTGTGTGGACTTCGCCGGATCCGGTGCCGACGCGGTCCAAGTCTGACGTTTCCTTTGTGCAGTGATACTTCATCCTTCGTTTGCTTGCTGTTCACTCTTTGCTGATCGCGGTCAGAACCTCGTTTCTTCTCAGTTGGCCACCTCCATTCTTCTGTACAGTCGACATCTACTCGTACACAAAACTGAGCGAGTGTAAACCACTGACCAGTCCTGCTCCGCTGTGCTTCATCTAGTGAGCCTCTTGCCTTCCCTAGCATTCGTGTTTCGAGAGGGTTCCCCCGCCTCGCTCCCCGCCAATGTTTATCACGGTGTTGACGTCATGTACGTTTTTATGTGAATGGCTGTGTACTCACCCCCAAATGCAAGCACTCACTAAATAACGGTTGACTACCAGAAGCTCCTTCCGATTATTGCTCTTAACCCCTCTTTCCAGTAAAAGATTTTCTCTTCATCGCATCCGAACGGCAAGTGAAACAGTTCCCTTCAGGAACCTAAAGTAAGGTACATTCTTGGGTGTAGGCCCTACAGACATTTAGGGTTGTGCTGCTGAGTGCTAATGCTTCCCACTGCGGAGAATTGCCCTTGCCGCTTGAAAACCTCGGTAACAACACTTGAGAAAATATGAAACAAGAAAAAGCTACTCCGTTCCACCACTCTCATACAACAACTATTTTTCCTTTTTCAAAATTAATACCTTTCAAGTACATTTGATTGTATCTGTCGCCAGCATAGTTTTCAAATGTGTAAATACCCCAAATTCTGGACACACGGCCTTGCCTTTCTGCTTAGAACCTCTCTACACCTCTCTGTTGTCCTTGGTAACAACACAGAATGGTTTTTAGCTTTAGTATCGAGGCAAGAAAAATAACAATAGTTAAGTTTTAAGTGTTAGCGTTTTTTTCATGGAAAAATATAAATGTCGAAGGACTGAGGTTGTGACTCAGTGGTATAGCTCTTGACTAGAGTGGCAAACCCAGTCCTTTGCCAGCACCTTAAGAATACAAAAATAAAAGTGTAAGTAGAAAATTGCCATGCACCTTTGCCTGAGAGAGTAACATGAATATAATTCAAAAGCTAACCCAAGAACGTGGCTTTCTAATCTTTTATGCCTTAAATTCATAACCTTTAACTTTTACAGATATATCCACATGAAATATTAAATTTAGCTGACCAAACTGCTGAGATCTCAAACTCAAACAATCCTTTGTATTAAGTGTTCCTTGCCCATATGTATACGTGGCTACTTGATCATCATTGAGGTAGTAATGAAAATAAAAGTGTCACCTCAGGGAGGCTTTACTTGCCCCTTGTCAATAACCAAAGTGGCCTTTTATTCCAGCCACTTTCTTTCATTTCTGTTTTATTTTTCTTCTTCATGAAATCCAAGGTAGTGTCTTTCTCAGTCTGTCGTGTATTCCCTAGCATCTGACCCAGTTGCTGGCAGAGTAGAGGCCTAGGAAGTCTTGGTTTACTAGAAAGCACCTCCCTAGGGAATGTGGTTAACTGGAAAGCAGCACATACACCATGTTTCCCGTTTTGTTTGAACTGAAAGGTTTATTTGAAATAAAATGGGAGGCTTCATATCAAACCTATCACCTCAGGCCGGTGGGACAGCTAAGCGGTGCAGGCCCTCCAGCACAAGCCTGAGGACCCCAGTTAGGTTCCTGCTGCTCACACTGGAAGGAGAGAACCAGCTCCCAAAGTTGTCCTCGCGCTTCTGCATGTGCATGGGGCACGCACTGACATGCTTGTGCATGTGCACACACACACACACACACACACACATAAAATTACATTTTATAAAACTCGTTACCCTGACATTTTGTTCATCGTGCCACAGAATAAGAACAAAGCCCTCAGTGTGTCTTGCACGCCTCCACCTTTAGACGCTGACTTTAGCTCTTTAGCCTTGGCTCTCACTCGCCATGTCCATTTTATACTTATAGGCTTCCTAGGCTGCTTTTAGTTTCTTAACTTGACTGTGCCATTGGGCCTCCAAATTTCCAGAGTCTCCTCTCTTTTTTTTTTTCTCCCTCATCCCTTTCCCTCTTTCTCCGGGACAACTGCTGTTCAGCCTTCAGGTCTCAGCCTGGATATCCAAGTACTTCTCCTCCCAGACCAGGTTAGACTGATGTTTCTGTTCACCTCGCCACGGTACCCTTGACTTCCCCATGGCTGCCATACTGTCTTGTAATTACTTGTTATCCCCTTCGTAGGTGATCAATAAACCCTTTGAGAGCAGCATTTTTGCTTTCTCAGTCACTGTACTATCTCTGGCACCTGGCATATACTAATTGCTAATAAATATTGGCTTGTGAATGGAAGCATACTTGAATAAATATCCAAGAAAGGTGTCTTTCCCAGGTAATTCTTGAGAACGGTTCTGCTAATCATTGTCTTTTTAAAAAAAAAAAAAATCTATCCTACTTTCCAAACTTGAAGTCATTTCATAAAAGTGACTGTCACCTATCTTGTGTTGAGCCATTAATTGAGCTGTTCAGACTTATCAGTTCCAGAGTACTCTTGTAAGTCCCAGGAGTACACTGTAAACCAAGGTCAAGGGTCAACTTTACACAATTCTAAGACTTTTTTTTTTTTTAAATAAGCCATGCAGGTTCCAGTTTATTTGAAAAAAAAAAAATTTGAAGTTGTTTTTTCCCTCTGTATATCTTGCCAGAATTCATAGTTATCCTGGATATAATAAATCCTCCAATTCCTTTCTTTCTTTCTTTCTTTTTTTTTCTTTTTCTTTTTTTTTTTTTTTTCCAAGACAGGGTTTCTCTGTGTAGCTTTGTGCCTTTCCTGGAGCTCACTTGGTAGCCCAGGTTGGCCTCGAACTCACAGAGATCCACCTGGCTCTGCCTCCCGAGTGCTGGGATTAAAGGTGTGTGCCACCATCGCCCAGCTCTTTCTTTTTTTAAGACAGGGTCTCACTGTGTTGCCCAAACCTAACCTCAAACTTCTGGGCTCAGGGGAGCCTCCAGCTTCGCTCTCTGGGCAGCCACAGTCCAGGCCTGGGCAGCCACACCAGCTGCAACTGCTCATTCATGTGCCTGGAATTTAAGTCTTTTCAGGCTTTGTCAGTGGAGCACATGATAACACATCAAAGCTAGATATCTGTCTCTCTTCCCATTCTATAGCTATCTCATTATAAAACATAATTTTTATTTGGTTTTCTTGTCTGGGGTCCCGTCTTTTTTATCTTGGTTTTTGTTTTTGGTTTGGGTTGGGTTGGGTTTTATTTTTTTTGTTTTTTGTTTTGTTTTGTTTGTTGTTTGTTGTTTGTTTGTTTTGCTTTTCTGGATTGTTTTAGTTGTTGCTGCAGATTTTGTTCCTTAAGTTACCCACCTGACCATACAGACCTCCATCTGACAGTACAGACCTCTCCCATTCCTAGCTGCCCAACTTGACGTAGGTTCATGTCATATGAGCGCCTGATAACTCATTAAAGCACGCTCTCTCTCTGTCTTTCTCTGTGTCTCTCTCTTCCCATTCCCTATCTCATCATAGTTTCTCTTGCCGAAGGTCCCATGTCTGCTTGATCTTGTCATCCTTGACACCTCCTGCTGATGTTACCTTCTAAAATAGTTCTCAAGTCTGTGGCCTCCTCTTCTGTGACCAGTGTTAGTTAACTCAGGGCTCTGTCACCCTCGTTTGAGGTCCTCCAACAACCTCCTATAATGTTTTCCTTCCCGGAGTTGTTTCCTTCAAACAGACCCCTAGAGGCTTCCGTAGTCACTATATGAAACAAAGCCCGCCATGCCGTTTCCTGCCTCAGTGACTCTCATCTTTCCAGAATAGTTAAAGTTCCTCAGGTAGCATGTTGGGCTTTTCCTCCCTATTCGTATTTAATAGACATCTTCTGGCACCACCTAGCTGTGTAGTGCCAGCACCACGTACCTGCTTTGTTCCTGATCTTTGCTGTCTAGAAAGCCCCATCTGCCTGTCCCACCACCCCACCACCTTTGCCTTTTACTTGCCTGATTTTGTTTGTTTGTTTGTTTGTTTGTTTGTTTGTTTTTCCAGACAGGATTCCTCTGTGTAACAGCCCTGGCTATCCTGGAACTCACTTTGTAGGCCAGGCTGGCCTCAAACTCTCAGAGATCCACCTGCCTCTGCCTCCGAGTGCTAGGACTAAAAGTGTACACCACAACTGCCCATCAAGAATGGTTTTTAATGTTTTAATGATTTAATGACCTGGGAACCTCTGTAGAAAAATGCAATACTCCCCAAATTTGCACATAGTAAGGTTTTACCTCAAATTGCAACCTTCTTCGATATCACCTCCAGAAAACCTAATAACCCTATAGAGATCGATTTGGTCCCTCCGTTGTATGTTTTACAGTATCAGGCTCATGTCCCTTCACTGCTCATCCACATTACATCTTTTAGTGTCTTCACCACTGTACTGTAAGCTCTTTGAAGATGATGACTGCCTTACTCATCTTTGAATTTCTAGTGGCTAGCATCACACATGGAAATACTACAGACATTTTTACAGGGAGTATTTACAAAGAACAACCAACCAAACATAGTCCTTATTGTGACAGCTCTTAATTCCTAACATTTCATCAAGTATTACAAAGCTGTGTGATCAGTGCCTTCATAAGGAAAATAGAATAGGATCATACAAAAGTATTTTTTTTTTCTGTAGTTGGGCGGCTAGAGAAGGTCTTCCAGAGGGAGC